GTACAAGATAGATTACCTGTGAATATTTATCCCCCAATTCATAGTTACCACCCAGGCGACCAAGTGTGGATTAAAGAGTGGAATAATGTGCCGTTAGGGCCCAAGTGGAGAGGTCCTTATGTTGTTCTTCTGTCTACCCCTACAGCGATAAAAGTAGCCGAAGTGGCTCCGTGGATACATCACTCCAGGGTTAAACCAGCAGCAGCCGATTCCTGGCAAGTTACAGCAAATCCAGAGAATCCCTGCAAGATCCGGTTAAAACGCACGACTCGGAGTGACGAGGAACCTTGTAGATTACAAATTTTATTGTTTCAGAGACTTGGTAAGTGAGTGAGAAGGCCATAATAAAGCCTGTCCACTCACCAACGAGTGTATAAGTCAGGGAAAGTCTTGAGGGGACCCCTGTGAAGACGAGCAGAACTCCATTCCCTGCAGTCCTTACATCCTGGAAGCTGAGGTGCCTTCACACGGACGAAGACTGAGGATGACGACGAAAGATGTATTTTTAATAATGTTTATTTATGTGTATTTTTATATTCAGGAAGGTAGAGGTACCAACACTCCTAGCTGTGAGGTATGCATTAAGACTACAAGAACAGGTAACCATATATCCCAGACCCTAATTTGGCATTCGCAATATGAGTGTAAAGGAGATGTATCAAGATGTAGATACTTAAATATAGAATATAGTGTGTGTCATTTAGGAGTAGGAGAACCTAAGTGCTTCAGTCCTGAGTATCAACCCCGTACAATTTGGTTGACTCTCAGAAATGGAGATTCTCAGGGGACCCTAATTAATAAGACGGTATTAAAATCCGTATATTCTTCAGGTGCTCTGCTATTTGATGCGTGTAAAGCAATATCAAGTGGTAGAAAGCCGTGGAATGTATGTGGGGATCTTAGATGGGAGAGGACGTATGGGTCTAACGATAAATATATTTGTCCCAGTAGTAAAAATAAATATGTAAGTCCAAGATGCCCAAATAGAGATTATAACTTCTGCCCATATTGGTCTTGTGTGGGGTGGGCGACTTGGGGACAGACAGCAGACAAGGACATGATTGTGACTAAGTTGCCTACTAATCCATATTGTAAGTCTATGGAATGCAATCCAATCCATATACTTATAAATAACCCTGACAAGTTCTTAGATAAATATGGTAATTTATTTGGGTTTCAAATATATGGGACGGGTTTAGACCCTGGGACAATATTGTTTATAGGGATAGAGACTGATACGGTAACCTCCCAAACTCATCAAGTATACCATTCCTTTTATGAAGAGATGAGCATAGATAATAAGATCCCCCATAATGCTAAAAACTTGTTCATTGATTTAGCCGAGAGTATTGCCGGTAGTCTTAATGTTACCAACTGCTATGTGTGTGGAGGTACTAACATGGGAGACCAATGGCCTTGGGAAGCAAAGGAGGTAATGTCCGGTTCTGAGGCAGTTGACCAATTAATATCTACACAAGCCGACTATCATATGAGTGTTAGAGGTAAATCTGAGTGGAGATTGAAGACCTCCATCATAGGTTATGTTTGCATAGCGAGGAAAGGAATGATGTATAATACTTCTGTAGGAGAATTAACTTGTCTAGGGCAAAAAGCTTATGATGATGATACAAAGAATACAACTTGGTGGTCGGCTTCAAATGTCTCAGAACCATCTAACCCGTTTGCAAGATATGCCAATTTAAAGGACGTATGGTTTGATCTATCCATCACATCTAACTGGAGAGCCCCAGCGAATTTGTACTGGATCTGTGGTAAGAAGGCCTATTCAGAGTTACCACAGGACTGGGAAGGGGCATGTGTGTTGGGTATGTTAAAACCATCCTTCTTCTTGTTGCCTATTGAAACAGGTGAGACTTTAGGTGTTAAAGTGTATGATGTGAATCATAGGAAGAAAAGGGGACCCATAGAGATAGGTGCCTGGGAAGATAATGAATGGCCTCCCCAGCGTATTATAGATTATTATGGGCCAGCCACGTGGGCAGAGGATGGTACCTTTGGTTATAGAACCCCTATTTATATGCTCAACCGCATTATAAGGTTACAGGCGGTGGTTGAGATCATTACTAACGAGACATCACAAGCGCTCAATCTTCTAGCGAAGCATAATACCAGGATGAGGACAGCAGTTTACCAAAATAGATTAGCCTTGGATTATCTTTTGGCAGTAGAGGGAGGTGTATGTGGGAAGTTTAACCTGAGCAATTGCTGTCTTCAAATAGATGACGAAGGGCAAGCAATAGCTGAGCTTACTAGCCATATGGTTAAACTAGCGCATGTGCCTACTCAGGTATGGAAAGGGTACAATCCAAGTAGTTGGTTTGGTAGCTGGTATGAGTGGTTTGGAGGGCTTAAGGCAGTGGTAGGTGGAGTCCTACTGATTTTAATGTTGTGTCTACTCCTGCCGTGTCTTATACCCTTAGTAGTTAGGTCTGTGCAAAGCCTGATAGAAAATATAGCAGAGAGGAAGGCTGCTGCACAGATAATGGCAATTTATAAATATAAGGCTCTAGATCAGGGAGAACCAATGCAGGAAGACGAGTGTTGAAGATTCACATCGTAGGATAAGTCTGGTCTGGTTCAAAGGTAACTTGTGGTGTATGCAAACCAAGGTTAAGTGATGCCTCAAGTAATTGTAAAATATCAAGAGGCATCAAAGGGGGGAATGTGGTGGAATCTCGGTAAAAATAAATTTAGTAGGCCGAGATTACCACGTGGCATGTGTACGTGCATATGCTGACGTATCGATCAGTTGGTTGCACGAGGCAAGATACGATCAGTAGTGTACGGAGCATGTGCAAGAATACAGGATGTAGTATTCCCCTCCTCCATTGTGCTGGACAAGCCATGCGGTCAAGCAGGAAGTTAATTCTTATTTGTAATGATTGGTCAAGAGAATGTGCGGGTGGAGCTTAATATGGGAGGAGTTATGTGCCTATATAGGGAGCCTGCACTATTGTTCAGGGCTCAGAACTTGCTGTATTTTTGGTGACATTAGTCCCTCTGAGTCCCGATCGGTGATCCAATAAAGAATCTCTTCCTTCCTGAAGAAACCTGTGTCCATCCCTCTGTGCTTTGCTTCCGTCAGTTTCTCCGGTATCAAAAACATTGCCCAAACAAGTCCCATCATGTGACCAAAACTGAATAATATATCACTACAATAACTATATTTGTTATACCACAGTATCTAGAAAAATGTTCAGTGTTAGCAATTCAATTGCTGATTCCAGAGATCAGTTTAATATATATATTATTTTAAATGTTTGGATGCTAGCTCCTAACCTTCAGAAAATACTACATGCAATACAAGACCCTCTCTAGAGGGTCCAATGCGGCTCACAAACCTTTTCAGGGTCAACACTACCATCATCCGGCTGACTGAGGAATGAAACACATGAATGAAGGGGCTGGGGAAGGAATGAGGTTCATGGGGGGCTGGGGGAATGGTAGGGATGAAACACATGAATGGAGGGGCTTGTGGGGAATTAGACACATGTTGGCGTTGGAGGAAATGAGCCATATTGAGGGTCTGGAAGAATGAGACACATGAGGGTGCTGGGGGAATACATTTAGTTCTGTTGTATACTAATACTCCAATAAATTTCGGCTCTTGAATATTTCAAAGTTTTAACATGAGGCTCTTAAAGGCATGAAGTTTGACTACCCCTGATTTAGATTATGTAAATATACACAAAGTAGAATAATTCTGGTCATGAAGGATCCTCACAATGGAGCATAACCATCTAACTACCAATGGAGCATAACCATCTAATACCATACCATCCATCCCAGCAACAGGAAGGCCATTTGATTTGAATACTGCAGCTTTAAAAGGCCCAAACCCTCATCCATCCCAGCAACAGGAAGGCCATTTGATTTTTCTCGGCACTACCCACCCTGGTTCGTTCTAACTATATAGAACACACCTCCAGCTGTTTGGAACCACAGCCAATCACCTCCTTATTACTCTCACATGTTATCAGCTGCTGCAGTTATACTATTAGCTCAATGAAGTGGTCTGGGTGCCAGGTTCCCCTAGTTTTAACCCCGCAGCTGAAAACAATGTTTACATTAAGGGTTAATCCAGCCTCTAGTGGCTGTCTCCCTGACAGCCACTAGAGGCTGCTTCCGCGATCCTCAATGTGAAAATCGCATTGAACTTGTGTAATGCTTTCCCTATGGGCAGTTTTAATGCGCACTCTGTCCGTGCATGCGCATTCAGAGCTGACTTCAGCAGGGGGAGGAGAGGTCACCAGCGCCAAGGGAGCTCGGTGCTGGATTAAGGTAAGTGGCTGAAGGGATTTTAACTCCTTCAGCCCAGAGGGAGGGGGTCTCCAAGGGACGGGGGGACCTAATAACCCTATAATGCCAGGAAAACGAGTTTGTTTTCCAGGCGCTATAGTGTTCCTTTAACTCTGCCATCACATACAAATCCCTCTGCTACCTCGTCTCATCTCCCCATTTTAACTTTTAGATCAGGCTTCCCCAAACTCCTGCCCTTCAGATGTTGCTGAACTACAACTCCCATGATTCTATGAATGAAATAGATAGGCTGAGAATCATGGGAGTTGTAGTTCAGCAACATCTGGAGGACCAGAGTTTGGGAAAGCCTGCTTTGGATTGTAAGCTCACGGGAAGGGTCCTCTACCTGTTTTATCGGTCTGTTCTTATGGTGTTTGACTTTTTCCCAATTGTACAGCTATGCAGAATTTGTTGGTGCTTTATAAATGTCAATAATAATAAATAATAATAATAATAATAATAACCAACCATCTGCATCCCAACAACATGGAAAGCCCTGTCTGGCATCATAACGTCCAAGTGTTCCTTTAAGGCTGACTGGACTACAGAGGACACTGGCCAAGACCCCAGGTACTTAGCTTTCCACACTAGCCTATTTAACCTCAAAAAGGCATATTATAAGAGCTGAAAAACAGGCAGCTGTAGGCAGTGGCCTACTCTGCCTCATAGGAATTCTGGCCGTGGACATTGGATCTTAGCAGAAGAAGCACCAGGAATACCAAATCCTTTTAACTGTTAGGGGCCCCGCAAACTCTGCTCCTTACACACAGACCCAGTGAGGGTCTTTGCAGAGTTGTGCAGCAGAAAGAGGAGCAAGAGGCTCTCAGCCTTTTCCTCTATGGCTGCAGCCGAGTCCTGGCTTTCAGAGCATTGCAGTGGTTAACACATGGTGCTGGGGCTCGCAAGAAGAGCCTTCACCCAGTGGAGCCTCAGAGGTAAAGGAGCTCCTACAGTGCCACCGGACCACCACACACTGCATCCCTCTCAAACACACTCACATACACTGCACCCCTAACGACACTACAGCTCCTTATTCCAAACTACTGCCCCTATCCCATACTACAGGCCCTAGCCCGGAAGACCCCAGGTAAGTTGTAAAACTGTCCTTAAACAGTTTGACTTCTTACTCTGTGAGGGTACCACTGCCATTCTAGTACCATAATCACTACAGAAAGCTGGGTTCCATGTCAGCCAGTTTTAACAGTGTAGTGAAAATTAGGGAGTTTTAAGAGAGGGTTAGTGTTACACAAATCCCCCACCAGAAAAATCCCTTAAGTGGACTGCTAAATGGTACTTGCCTCTAGTCTTAGGGGTATCAGTCAATTCAAAATGCAGATTTAAATATGCAAAAGAAAGGAAAAGAAATTCCAATAGTGGAGTATATCAAGCTTAATACATAAATAGTAGATTATAAATTGATCATTTTTTTAGTCCCTATTCTGCTGATATCTTCATTTACCTCCAAAGAAGGTGTACCCCACTTAGTGAGTAAAAGCTGTTTAAACCAGAGCCAGGTACACTGAGTTGGCTCTGGAGAATGTGAGCAATATACCATTTGGTGTTCTAATTTGTTTAGATTTCCTTTACATACTTCACCAGAGAGATATCTTTGTGTTTATATTTCCTAACGAGTATTGAAGAAAGAAACTAAAGAGGGAAGGTGTCTCCCAATGTACACCAAGGCAAATGTGATTTGAGCCAGTCCCTTACTTGGCTCTCCACTTGTGAATTGAATTGCATATTATCTACTATTTATGTATTAAGTTTGATATACTCCACTATTGGAATTTATTTTCCTTTCTTTTGCATATTTAAATCTGCATTTTGAATTGACCGATACCTCGAAGACTAGAGGTAAGTACCATTTAGCGCTCCACTTATGGAATTTTCTGGTGGGTGGTTTGTGTAACACTAACCCTCTCTTAAAACTCCATAATTTTCACTACACTGTTTGAATTGGTGGATTAGAGAGATCCACATTGAAGTGTTGTAGCAGCTATATAAATTATACACTTACTATCAGTCTTTAAGCACCTATTCTTCACACAGAACACCTTGGCAACATTAGCCAGTTTTAACCCTGCAAGTGAAACCTTGCATAACGGCAATTTTTCATTTCAGGGTTCAAACATCTCCAATGTCATTCTGACAGCCACTAGAGGCATGGTTTCCAAATTAGTAATGTAAAATCGGGGCCCGCAAACTAAGGGGACCCACTGGGAGGACCATGCACCTGGACCGCCTAGTGGGCATGTGTCAGCTGTGGCCTTTTAACAGCGCGACTAGGCCCTCAACTTATGGGCAGCCTGAGAGGAACAGCTGACAGCTTGTCACTTCCTCACAGGTAGCTGAGACTTGGAGCCGCAAGAGAGAGAGCAGGAGAAGGCAGAGAGGAGGGAGCGCAGACCAGGGGAGCCAGCACCCAACAGCCACAGCCTGGACCCCAGGGAAGCCACCCTCCAAAAAGTAGGGTACTGCAGGGTGGCTAAAAAATAGTAACTTGACGTGTGTGTCTGTATGTTGTGACTATTTATATCTGTGTATCTGCATGTGTGTACTAGTGTCTGTGTGTATGTGCATACATCTCGGCAATCAAACACCAATTCAAAACACATATACACCACTGAATTCAAATGTCAACACTACATACAAACACACTTCTGCATTGAAATGTCAACACTACAAAATTACATATAAATACACCAATGCATTCACACGCACACACGCTTACACACAAACACTGATCAGTGTGAAGTACAACCATGGGAAAAAGAGCCGCACTGTGGTAGATGTAGAACAAAGGCGTCTCATCTTCCAACTCCAGCAGCAGGCCCTCTCCTCTTGTGAACCACTAGTTGCCATGACAATGCTCTGCGAGACACGCAATGCATGTTGGAGTATTGCAAGTTGCAAGACACAGGTTGCCATGGTGAGATGTGAGGACGTGCTGCTGGAGGTGGAAAAGGAGTCTCGTGGCCCCCTCTTCATTGTGCAAGTATGCTGTGCCATCAGACCACCTGAAAATCTGGCATCCACCATTCCTGGCCAAAAGTAAGAGGCAAGGAGGGCGGGATAAGTGCAATCAATTAAAAAAACAAAAACACAAAACTGCTAATCTCCCCCCCCCATCACTTATCCAACACCAGAAACACATATAGGTGATACTCGAAAAATTAGAATATCATGCAAAAGTTCATTTATTTCAGTAATGCAACGTAAAAGGGGAAACTAATATATACATGCAAAGCAAAATAGTTCAGGACGTGATTTGTCATAAGTGCGAGGATTATGGCTTACAAGGGCTAGTAAACTCCGTGAATCTATCAAAAATTACGTTTCTTGATTGTTCCGCTTGTTGCATACTCCAGGCACTGAAGCAGTTAATAAATCACACAGCCCCAAATCATTAGCACCTTCATGACAGGTAACTTAAACCTTCTTAGCAAGTCTGTCCCTTCAGGTTATTCAATGTAAACGCTGCCTTTTCAGAGAAAAGGCATTATTTACATTGTTGCCTAGTAACAACTTTAGTGGCAATCACTCAGACGGACACTAGAAGTGCTTCCTAGTCACTGTGCAGAACTGGCATTTGGCGTCTACACACTCTGCATGGAGAAGCTGAATGTTTCCAATGGAGGTGCATTGATGCAATGCATCTCTTTAAGGAGATACTGAATGGCACAGTGTGGAGTTTTACTGCACATGCGCAATAGCCTATAGAAGGCATAGGCAACCTTCGGCAGATGTTTTGGACTACACCTCCCATGATTCTTTGACAGCATTCTGGGTGTAAGAGCATTATGGGGGATGTAGTCCACAACATCTGGAGTGCCGAAGGTTGGCTATCCCTGGCCTATGGCATTGAATTGGCTGAGATCATCAAAACTGAGGAATTCAGCCATGATGAAAAAAAAAAAAAAAAAAAAAACAGCCATGGCAAGACCGGTGAGACGTGGGAGAAAGGTGAAAAAATTAATTTTGAAAATCACCTTTTTACTGCGATCAGAGGGGGTCAGTCACCTAAACATCTACTTCGGGACTATAGTGTCAGGAATACATGTTTGTATTCCTGACACTATAGTCTTCCTTTAACTTGCTTTGTGAACACAAGGCACAACTGTCAGAACGCTAGATTTCGGAGTCGTTCTTTTTAGAAACATTTATAGCCTCAAAACGGCAAATTTCAAAATTAACAATGATACAGATAAGAATGGTTCAATGAGGCAGTTTAACGGATAAAATTACTCCAATAAACATGTGCCATTCAATTTGAGTGCACAACCTGGAATTTAAATTGTGCCAATTCTTTTAATAGCCCATCCTCACAGTGATTTACATAAGTAGGAACACCAAATGTTTCTTGAATCTCAACATTCACAGTAACTCTTGCTAATGCTATGACTGAACAGCATGTATCATAAAGACAATATGCAGATGGTAATGTAATCAGCATATAAATGATCTGCATCTAATTACAATTCAATTGGATTTTAGATAGTTAAGTCACCAACACAGCTGATTGCATTGATGAACCTTATTCTCCAGACATGACAATGAGTAATATCGCATTAAATGTCAGAAAACTTTCTTCTATAAAAATACAAAAAATAAGAGGGAGAGAGAAACTGCTAAGTATGCAAAAGCTTTAAGAGTTACACCTAGCACACTTAACCATTGTAGCCTGCTGTAGAGGTTTAGATGCTAAAAGTACCCCGGCCTGGATCCCTGTTAATAGGGCGAACTGTTTAGCAACAGTGTGCCCACTTACATGCGTCCCTGCTGGAGTCCGATGCTCCCTTTAGGCAAGGCCGTCTTTAAAGGGGGGCAAAAGGGGCAGCTGCCCCGGGCCAGTTACTCCTGTGGGAGTACTCCTGTGGGCCCCCTGCTGGGGTCCAAATCCTGTGGACTGCAGCACCTGATGTAATTAAGGGCCCTCAGCCCTTTAAGAGTGCTCGGCCTTGGCCCCTTTGATGTTGCCTGCTGGGAGGAAGTGAGGTGAGATCACTTCCTCCCAAGTAACATAGTGCCGCTGGGGAGGTGGAGGAGGCATACAGAGGAGGAGGAAAGGGACTGAGGACAGACTCTCATCAGCCTTGGCCCTCCAGCTCCCACTGGACCCCAGGGAAGCCACCCTTCTGTACCCAAAAGGTAAGGAGACAAGAGAGTGGCTAAAACATGATGTAACTTGATATATGTGTGTGTACCTGGGTCTGAGTGAGTGCATCTGGCTATATGTGTGTGTGTTTATCTGGCTGTGTGTGTGTTTATCTGGCTGTGTGTGTGTGTGTTTATCTGGCTATATGTGTGTGTGTTTATCTGGCTGTATGTCCATGTGTATCTGGCTGTATGTGTGTGTGTGTGTACCTGACTGTGAGTGTTTGCACCTGGCTGTGAGTGTACCTAGCTGTGTGTGTGTGTATCTGTCTGTGTTTGTGTCAGTCTGTGTATCTGGCTGTGTGTGTCAGTGTTATAGTTAGATCCTACTAGACTTGGGTGCAGCAAAAATTTTCGTTTTGTCTGAACCAAATTTTGCCTGTGCATGAATTCTCAAACGATTTTGGCCAATATTTGTGTTTTGGAATTTCATTTGGACAAATGAAAGTCCGATCTGTGCCACATGCCCTGGCTGCCTCATGCAGCTGTTTAGTAGACAACTCCTTAAAATGTTACCCTTATGGGATTGGCATATTTCTAGGGTAACAAATTAATGAACTATTTAGCAGATAGCTCCTTTTGGATATCCTTAGGACAATTCCACAAGATTTAGGAGGTATCTACTAAGAAGCTGAAATAGCAAAATTAGAAAAAGGCCTTTTTCGTTATTTTGGTCCTTTGGACAACTTTACCAATACCCCCCAAAAATACTTAGTATTAGTAAATAAAGGGTGTTACAAATCCTCCCTCTATGCTGCAAGTAGGGGATTGTGTACTAAACAATAAAAGAGGACCTGGCCCCACACCTTAAAATAATTGTTATATTCCTTGTCTGCTTCAGATATTATGCTTAATAGTTATATACGATGTTATAGTTAGTTTGTTTGACAGGAATACAGGAGTGAGCATTCTAAACATTATTGCTCCACACTTTGACTCACTTAAAGGGACACTATAGCCGCCTGAACAACTTTAGCTTAATGAAGCAGTTTTGGTGTATAGAACATGCCTCTGCAGCCTCACTGCTCAATCCTCAGCCATTTAGGAGTTAATTCCCTTTGTTTATGAACCCTAGTCACACCTCCCTGCATGTGACTTGCACAGCCTTCCATAAACACTTCCTGTAAAGAGAGCCTTATTTAGGCTTTCTTTATTGCAAGTTCTGTTTAATTAAGATTTTCTTATCCCCTGCTATGTTAATAGCTTGCTAGACCCTGCAAGAGCATCCTGTATGTGATTAAAGTTCAATTTAGAGATTGAGATACAATTATTTAAGGTAAATTACATCTATTTGATTTTTTTCATGCCAGGGGAGGTGTGGCTAGGGCTGCATAAACAAAGTGATTTAACTCCTAAATGACAATGAGTTGAGCATTGAAATTGCAGGGGAATTACACTAAAACTGCTTTATTTAGCTAAAGTAATTTAGGTGACTATAGTGTTCCTTTAAAATGGCTG